GGTGAATACATCTCATTACAAAAATAATGAAGGTAAGAATGTTATAGTCTTAGATATGGTCCCAGTATCCCTTTGCTTTATAAAGTTGCTTTAAAGCTGTTTTTGCAGTTTGGTTCAGATATACATGATGGACGTAGTCAGTCATTTTCTTTTTACTTCTTCGAGTTGTTGCCAGCTGCTGAGAATAGGGTCTGATAATGTACTAATTCGGGAGTCTGATGGCAAAGAGCGCAGTACTAAAAGCGCTCCTTGAAGTCCCCCTGATACTATGATCAAGCTGCGAAAACGAGAAAAATTCACATGAATGAGTGCTGTTGTATCGAAGAGCTAGACTAATTCTACAAATGGAATACATATTGACTATTTAAGATTTTGTCACTATAAAACTCTATAGCCAACACTATTTAGATTAGAAATATTCTTGTTAAAGGGACTTTCACTTCCGATGAAAATATGCGGTGGAGAGAAACTTTGATCAATCCCACTAAAAGAGGATCTATATTGCCTTTCATTGCTTAGCTTCACTGGAGTAATCTGGTTAACGCTGCCTCTAAGGCAATCTCATTAGGTTCTGGTGAAAGTGGGTTGAGCTCTCGACTGTTATATAAAGGAAATCCCCACAGCGTGGCACCATTCTTACAACCACTCCAAGCTAAATAGCAAGGAAATACTGCCCACTTATCCTTCCATAATGTATTTCTGAGTAGCTCATGTGATAAGCAAAACTAAGGGCATGTGTATATGTGCCCATTTGTACATAAATGTAAGAACCCGGCAATGATAGCTCGTACTTATTTGGAGAGAACCTAACCTCTACCTACAACCATCAAGGCCAAATGACCCTTATTTAATGATGATTTTGATTGCCGTATGTCGGTCACAACCCTGGTTGAAGTTATGAGGGTTTTTTTTAACTCAAACAAACAAATGATTTTGATCCTAACTACAACCATGGTGAACAAATCCCTAATTTAATCGCTTTCTATTTTACAGGAAATCCAACATTATCGCTATCTCCAACTCCATCAATTTAACATTTGTATTTATTAGTAAACTTTTTACCTGTTTCGCTAATCTCCAATGTACTGCCTAATCTGTTGCCTTTGATGCCGTGCCAATTTAATACAGCTGAAAGGATAACAGATGCGTACATGGTTATATGATTGACAGGCAAAACAATATAAGAAAAAATATAGTGAAAAAGATTATTGTAATAAGAATATCAGTAGCTCTCAAATAAGAACATAGTTTTTCTAGATATGTAAAAGGATGGGGTTCGAAGAATGCCTTAGTGATATATTGTGGCATGACTTTTCATAACAGAAGAAAAGGTTGGTTGGAAGGAATTGGTGAAATGTTCTTACCACACATGTCGGAGTCGCAGGGCGTTAAGCCGAGGACTTCCTGGAACAATCCAGCATCTTTTCTCTGCGACAATCCTCCTTCATTTTCTGGTGAGACCATTTCACCAATTCCTTCTGATCAACATTTTCTTCGAAATGCAAAGTCGTGTCACAATAGGTTTATTGAGACACTTAATGGGATTGATAGGTCAACAGTTGAATAGCATCTCTACCCGGTGACGCACTGACACTGGGGGCTCTATAGTGGCGCCAAGTACCGAATTTTGCTGGCGAGATCCAAACTGCAGTCCACACCAGCTGGAATAAGATATCATTTTGCAAGCAAGATCAAGTGAACACCAATAGCTAAGTGAGGCCTATTCATTTTAGAGTGATAAATCTTGAAAATAAGTACCAATAGCACTATAAGCAACCTATGATGACTCTCCTTTAGCTGTATACAAGTGGTATGACTCCGATTTCGTAACTTGGTCGTGTTGTCAAGGCGACCTAATTGGACTCATCTTGTTCGAAGTTCTTTGCTATAGTAGTTGTGATAATTCCCAAAGTTTGACCGTAGACTTGGTACAATTCCATGAATCTACGGTCCAACGGTGGGAATTATGATGACTTCGGACACGGTGCGTTCACTTCAGTCGTCCTGACAACATGAACGAGTAACAAAAACTAAGTCAAACTTATAAATACCAATAAAATGCCAATTTAGGTTAAATGAAATTGATATAAATGATCACCAATGTTGGACTCCACACCAGATGATAGATGCCTCTTTTCACCTGATCATATGCCACATGAAAATGTTGTTCTCTCACCTTAAACAGGCCTTAGAACAATCGTTGGCGCCCTGCTAGACGCTATAAAACATCTCCGCGACGTCATGGTTCTCACCGTCTTTCTGCTCTCCATATTCGCCCTCATCGGCCTCCAGCTCTACCGCGGCACTCTTTTGCGTAAGTGTGTACGAGCTTGGCCCTCGGTCCACGGAATCAACTACTCGCATAGAACTGGCAGTAGTATCCACTCTGCTCCGACATTAATTCATTTTACCGTCTCAAACATGACCTCTGGACAGTCGGCTTACCTGAATGATGGGCTCTATCCCGACCCCAGTGATCCAAATAATGTGTCTCTACGAGCCCTTCCATTTCGCATGTCTCCTTTTCACAACGAGTCCGACAGTGCGTATGAAATCGAGACCAACCTGACGAGATTGGCCGAAGTCAGTCGGAAAATCCTGTTGAGTGCAAATGAATCATCGCTGAATAATGGACACACAATGTCAAGAAAAATGCGATCATATCTTCAGAAAGATCTGATAAATGATTCTCTATTCATTAACCGTCCATTAGATGCCGCTGACACTGCTTCCAAATGGAGAGCCTACATTGAAGGGAATATGGTTGTGGGGCACAGAATTAAGCCGCCTAACAACGTAACTGCCAGCATCAGCGGTCAAAATGCGAATGTGCATAAAGAGGACCTCTCCCTGATCAATCCAAAATTGGATGAGAAAGGCGCTGAGAAATCTAAAATTTCAAGAAATATGAGCATTTCCGATTGGCTTGCATGGGCGAGGATGAGTAGAAATTGGACATCAGCGCTACTATCAGAGTGGGCCCGGTTACCAGGCAAAGCACAATGGCAAGTGATCAGTGCCTACTACGAGGATCCAGGTGAGAAATTCTTCGACTCTTCTTCTTTATCACATAAATATGTCATATATCACTCGGATATTGTGCAGTAAATGTAAGTATAGACATGATTGCAAGCCACCAGATGCTGGATGAATGTATTCCTGATTTATTCCCACCTTATATTCAAAAAAACAATTCTAGTCTTCAACAAGACTATTTATGTAATGTAAGCCTAACTCTGTTAGCTTTTGCTCTAGACCTTCAAATATACCCCTTTTTGGCACCGACAAGTCTCTTTATCAGACAATCTCGGAGTAGCCCGAGGTGATCTGCTTCTGATTAACCTGAATAGTTAAATTTTTGAAACCTTAGAAAGATTGTCATAGAGTTTTGACTCCAGATTTCCGCTTCCAACCTCAATGCATCTGTATTAAGCTTTCATTTGTCGTCCTATCACAGACTTCATCTAAAAACTATTCTAGAAAAGCTTTACAAAACCGCAGAGCATAGCATATTGGCCGGATTCAATTATGTCTACTTCTAATAATTATGATATCAATCTGAATGGTAAAATATAATTATTT